ACGTGTGTTCTACCCACACGGATGTTATAGATGTGTGTTCTACCCACACGGATGTTATAGACGTGTGTTCTACCCACACTGATGTTATAGACGTGTGTTCTACCCACACGGATGTTATAGATGTGTGTTCTACCCACACGGATGTTTTAGGTATGTTTTCTACCCACACGGATGTTATAGATATGTGTTCTACCCACACGGATGTTATAGACGTATGTTCTACCCACACGGATGTTATAGATGTGTGTTCTACCCACACGGATGTTATAGACATGTGTTCTACCCACACGGATGTTATAGACGTATGTTCTACACACACGGATGTTATAGATATGTGTTCTACCCACATGGATGTTATAGACGTGTGTTCTACCCACACGGATGTTATAGACGTGTGTTCTACCCACACGGATGTTATAGATGTGTGTTCTACCCACACGGATGTTATAGATGTGTGTTCTACCCACACGGATGTTATAGACGTGTGTTCTACCCACACTGATGTTATAGACGTGTGTTCTACCCACACGGATGTTATAGATGTGTGTTCTACCCACACGGATGTTATAGATATGTGTTCTACCCACACGGATGTTATAGATATGTGTTCTACCCACACGGCTGTTATAGACGTGTGTTCTACCCACACGGATGTTATAGATGTGTGTTCTACCCACACGGATGTTATAGATATGTGTTCTACCCACACGGATGTTATAGACGTATGTTCTACCCAAATGGATGTTATAGACGTGTGTTCTACCCACACGGATGTTATAGACGTGTGTTCTACCCACACGGATGTTATAGACGTGTGTTCTACCCACACGGATGTTATAGAAGTGTGTTCTACCCACACAGATGTTATAGACGTGTGTTCTACCCACACGGATGTTATAGAAGTGTGATCTACCCACACGGATGTTATAGATATGTGTTCTACCCACACGGATGTTAAAGACGTGTGTTCTACCCACACGGATGTTATAGACGTGTGTTCTACCCACATGGATGTTATAGATATGTGTTCTACCCACACGGATGTTATAGACGTATGTTCTACCCAAATGGATGTTATAGATGTGTGTTCTAACCACACGGATGTTATAGACGTGTGTTCTAACCACACGGATGTTATAGATGTGTGTTCTACCCACACGGATGTTATAGATATGTGTTCTACCCACACGGATGTTATAGACATATGTTCTACCCAAATGGATGTTATAGACGTGTGTTCTACCCACACGGATGTTATAGACGTGTGTTCTACCCACACGGATGTTATAGAAGTGTGTTCTACCCACACGGATGTTATAGACGTATGTTCTACCCAAATGGATGTTATAGACGTGTGTTCTAACCACACGGATGTTATAGATGTGTGTTCTACCCACACGGATGTTATAGATATGTGTTCTACCCACACGGATGTTATAGACGTATGTTCTACCCAAATGGATGTTATAGACGTGTGTTCTACCCACACGGATGTTATAGACGTGTGTTCTACCCACACGGATGTTATAGACGTGTGTTCTACCCACACGGATGTTATAGACGTGTGTTCTACCCACACGGATGTTATAGAAGTGTGTTCTACCCACAGGGATGTTAAAGACGTGTGTTCTACCCACACGGATGTTATAGACATGTGTTCTACCCACACAGATGTTATAGACGTATGTTCTACCCAAATGGATGTTATAGACGTGTGTTCTAACCACACGGATGTTATAGACGTGTGTTCTACCCACACGGATGTTATAGATATGTGTTCTACCCACACGGATGTTATAGATATGTGTTCTACCCAAATGGATGTTATAGACGTGTGTTCTACCCACACGGATGTTAAAGATATGTGTTCTACCCACACGGATGTTATAGACGTGTGTTCTACCCAAATGGATGTTATAGACGTGTGTTCTAACCACACGGATGTTATAGACGTGTGTTCTACCCACACGGATGTTATAGATATGTGTTCTACCCACACGGATGTTATAGATATGTGTTCTACCCACACGGATGTTATAGACGTATGTTCTACCCAAATGGATGTTATAGACGTGTGTTCTACCCACACGGATGTTATAGATATGTGTTCTACCCACACGGATGTTATAGACGTATGTTCTACCCAAATGGATGTTATAGACGTGTGTTCTAACCACACGGATGTTATAGACGTGTGTTCTAACCACACGGAGTTTATAGATGTGTGTTCTACCCACACGGATGTTATAGATATGTGTTCTACCCACACGGATGTTATAGACATATGTTCTACCCAAATGGATGTTATAGACGTGTGTTCTAACCACACGGATGTTATAGATGTGTGTTCTACCCACACGGATGTTATAGATATGTGTTCTACCCACACGGATGTTATAGACATATGTTCTACCCAAATGGATGTTATAGACGTGTGTTCTACCCACACGGATGTTATAGACGTGTGTTCTACCCACACGGATGTTATAGAAGTGTGTTCTACCCACACGGATGTTATAGACGTATGTTCTACCCAAATGGATGTTATAGACGTGTGTTCTAACCACACGGATGTTATAGATGTGTGTTCTACCCACACGGATGTTATAGATATGTGTTCTACCCACACGGATGTTATAGACGTATGTTCTACCCAAATGGATGTTATAGACGTGTGTTCTACCCACACGGATGTTGTAGACGTGTGTTCTACCCACACGGATGTTATAGATATGTGTTCTACCCACACGGATGTTATAGCTGTCTGTTCTACCCAAATGGATGTTATAGACGTGTGTTCTAACCACACGGATGTTATAGATGTGTGTTCTACCCACACGGATGTTATAGATATGTGTTCTACCCACACGGATGTTATAGACGTATGTTCTACCCAAATGGATGTTATAGACGTGTGTTCTACCCACACGGATGTTATAGACGTGTGTTCTACCCACACGGATCTTATAGACGTGTGTTCTACCCACACGGATGTTATAGAAGTGTTTTCTACCCACAGGGATGTTAAAGACGTGTGTTCTACCCACACAGATGTTATCGAAGTGTGTTCTACCCAAATGGATGTTATAGACGTGTGTTCTACCCAAATGGATGTTATAGACGTGTGTTCTACCCACATGGATGTTATAGAAGTGTGTTCTACCCACACAGATGTTATAGACGTGTGTTCTACCCACATGGATGTTATAGAAGTGTGTTCTACCCACACAGATGTTATAGACGTGTGTTCTACCCAAATGGATGTTATAGACGTGTGTTCTACCCACATGGATGTTATAGAAGTGTGTTCTACCCACACAGATGTTATAGACGTGTGTTCAACCCACATGGATGTTATAGACGTGTGTTCTACCCACACGGATGTTATAGACGTGTGTTCTACCCACACGGATGTTATAGATGTGTGTTCTACCCAAATGGATGTTATAGACGTGTGTTCTACCCACACGGATGTTATAGAAGTGTGTTCTACCCACACGGATGTTATAGATGTGTGTTCTACCCAAATGGATGTTATAGACGTGTGTTCTATCCACATGGATGTTATAGACGTGTGCTATACCCAAATGGATGTTATAGACGTGTGCTATACCCAAATGGATGTTATAAACGTGTGTTCTACCCACACGGATGTTATAGACGTGTGTTCTACCCACACGGATGTTATAAACGTGTGTTCTACCCACACGGATGTTATAGACGTGTGTTCTACCTACACGGATGTTATAGACGTGTGTTCTACCCACACGGATGTTATAGACGTGTTTATCTGTGGTGGGCTTTTTTGAAAAGGATTAATCAAGAATTTGATATCAGACAGTTTTTTTAATCTGTTATATAATTCTGACTGTTTCACATGTGCATTTTTGAGGATTTATCTAATAATGTATGGCATTTTAAAACTGGTTTTACTTTTTGTATATATTGGATTCATTACTATGTAACTCTGAATGAGATTTTCTAACTTTGGATCGGGAATCACCCCTGTGGGCGCTTTGAAGAATGAAATCCAGAGCCTGATGTTCTGAGTCCAACCAGGTTAAAAGGTGTGTTCACTGCATTTAAAATGTTAGATCTGATACAGATCCTGATGGAATCAAATTCTGTCAATAAACTGAATGAAAATAGTAATGTGATCACAATAATCTGTAAAAAAACAAAAAACAAAAAAATAACACTTTTTAATAAAATGATGTAAAATGTAAACATGAGAGAATTCAGAAAGTACGACACAGACATAGAACACAGAACAAACCAACAGAGGACAATATTTAGTTTTATTTGAAAAGTTTTTCATAGATGATTTTGCAGGATAGGTGAACGTCAGTGGGGGTGGAGCTAAGATGTGGTTACTGGTTACTTAGGGATGAACTCACTGGCCCAGTTCCAGTTTGATCTGTGGCTCCGGTTCTGACTGTAGGCATCTGAATTATTCATTTTATTTGATCCAGAATAAAAATCAGGTTTCCTGCAGAAGGTTGCAGAAATTTCTGAGTTCCTTTTCAAAATAAAAACTTCCAAATATTTTTGCATCAGTTTTGTTTTATTTTATCATGAAAAGAATGTCTGCAGCCGCAGGAAGTCCGCGGAGACCAGACTGGAACTGGGCTTTTGATGCAGGGCAGGGTCAGATTTAAATGGGGCACAGCTGGGTAGCTAAGTGAGGATGTGTTCAGGTGAAGCTCAGCTTTTGTTTAGAATTAGTATCAGTGTTACGTGTCGGTACTGAACGAGCAGCTTGTTAGTATTTATGTCATATTTGAGGAGGAGAATCAGCTGCAGGCTGTTAGTGATAAAAGGGTTAGCCAGCTACAACCAAACGTTTAACCCTGACAGGAAACTAGAAGCAGCCGATAGTCTGAAGCTTCAGTTCTAGGCTGTTCAGCAAAGCTCAGTCCTGTGTGAACAGTTCAAACAAACAGTTAGCACAGGTGACACACTAGACCACCAGGTCAACAGGTGCTTTGCAGGTGTGTTACCTGACTGAGAGCAGGATGGTGAAGCTCCTGCAGGTGATGTGGTGGCATCCCACCTGGCGATGGAACTCCTGATGTTGATACGGACCGACCCAGTTTACATGCAGTCTTTAATTCTGCAGAAAAAAATCGAATTAATAATGTGGCTGACAACCATTTAGCTGACATTCACCTGCTCAGGTGGAACACCGAGTCCAACACTCTGGAAAGAAATGAAATGGTGCCGAACTTCAAGAATCAAAGGATTTATCTGGAAACAGAGAAGCTCCAACAGGGGCGATTTAGACTGTTGAAATCAGCTTTTATTCCGATTTTTTTTGTGTGTTTTCAGTTTTTCATCTGTATGTTGTTTTTGGCATTTATTGCGTGTTTTGTTTTCTTGCTTTTATGAGTTGGTTTTAATTTACTGGATGTGTTGGAGAAGGACAAATGGGAAACAGACAGTCACCTGTCTCCTGGTAGCCTATCAGCCGCCTAGCACACCTGCTGCAACATCTGGCTGGATGAAGAACACAAACAAGGACAAAGAAAGAGAGGAGCAGAAGGGACACAAAGGAGATACAGAGACAGCAGAAGGAAGGGTAGCTCCAAGGAAGAATCTGATGAAGAGGAAGGAATATGGTGGTTAGGAGGAAGAGCACCAGGTAGAGGATGAGGGATTCTTAAGGATCACCACTGGCATTGTAGTGATTCCAGACTAACCTATAGACAGGGCTGCGGTTGACACACATGTCCTCAAGAAACCCTCTATGTTTTGTAAAGAGAGATTCATTTGTACTTTTTAGAACATGTTAGAACTTAAACCTTTCTCCTGAGCTTCTTGCTACCTTTCCATCATCATGTCCATCAGCTCTCTAGCTCGACTTATCCCTTTCCTCCTCCTCTCCTTCCACCAACAGCTGCCCAAGTTGTGGATCGCATCCATCCCCTCTGAACACAACTATCCAGTTATCAGGCTGGATGAATGAATGAATGAATCTAAGGAACAGGAAACAAGAAAACCTGGAGGGAGAGAGAACACGTGGAATGGACTACGGAGGAAGGGATGTGGAACAGACACAGAGCGTAGGGTTGACATGGACAAGAGAAAGGACATGACACCTTCAAGGTTTTAATAGAATCTAATCAGGGGTGTAACACCTACAGCTTAAATGTGTCATGGGGCTTAAAGGAGATGTACAGTTGGATGTCATCTGCATAAAGATGGCAGGAGAGCTCAGGATGTGCTGGAGGGAGCTGATAAAGAAGGAAATGTAGAGACCCCAGCACAGTACCTTGTGGCATTCTGTGGTCGAGGGAGGTGGAGGAGGACTGAAAGTCGGAGACAGTCACAGAGAAGGAGCGCTCAGACAGGTAAGAGGAGAACCACTTCAGAGCAGCTCCTGATAGGCCTACCCAGCCTCTCCAGTAGCAGGTGATGGTCAACAGTGTCAAAGGCTGCAGTCAGGTCCAGCAGGACCAGAACAGAACAGTCCCCTGCATCACTGTGAGTCAGAAGGTCATTAGAGACCCTAAGAAGAGCTGTTTCAGTAGAATGAGCTCTACGAAAACCTGACTGGAAGCTATCATAGATGTTATGTTGATCAAGAGCAGCTGTGAGTCGTTTAGCCACAACCTTTTCCAAGATCCAGCAGTAGTTTAGAGATGGGTCTAAAGCTGCTATGGAGAGATGGATCAAGATTGTTTTTTTAAGATGTAGGTGGATTACAGTGTTCTTAAATTAAGCAGAAACCTGAAACCAGGGAAGCATCAATTATAGAGAGCTGTTAAAGTGGATCTTATAGGAATCTGGAATCACAATCAGCCTTACTCACAATCTTTGTGACTTCAGCATGAACAGTAGTCTTCCTCTTTGCATGTAACCTGACTTCCTGCAGGTCTCCTGACCTGACAGTTAAGTCTTAAACATTTGCTGCCCCAGTTCAAACTGACATGTCTGTGTAACTCACCTCCTGCCCCTGTCAGCATCATGGTTGGGCTAACGGACTTCCCCATCCTGCTGCAAACTGGACTCGAGTGTCCATCCCTGTCTTTGCTGCCATGTCTGGGCAGAGACTTGTAGTCTCCTGCAAAGAAAACCAAACACACCCAAATTAAGCCACAACCAAAACCCATCAAACATCCAGAAATGATTGTTTAGTTATTTATTCAAGAAGGCTTGAAACTAATAAAACTGTCAGCAATCATCGCAAAGAGGCAACCTGTTACGAGTTGTTTTGGTTTCTGTTACTGGTTTTCTAATCATCTCTGTTTCTGTGTTGTGTGCAGGTCGGCTGCAGCTCCTTCCAGGTGCCCTGCCCCCTGTGGGCTTCTCCGGAGTGTCGCAGCTGACTGCAATTGCCCAATTACCACCCTTACTTAAGCGACTGTTCTCCAGCCCTCAGTGTGGTGTTGTTTTTTCTGTATTGCTTAGTAGAGCCAGTGTGCCTTTGTGTTTGTGACTTCTGATTTGTTTTTCCCACTGTGTGTGGGGATTTTTGGTTATTAAAGGGACTTTATGGACTTTTGAATTTGTATGCTCGCGATTGCCTCCTCAGGCCAAAAGTGTAATGGCAGCTTCAATAGGAGGCTCATGCACGAGGCGCGCATGCTGTACGTGCACACTCCTTAACGAAAATAACAGCTGAGACAGTCCCTTGTGTGTGTGTGTGTGTGTGTGTGTGTGTGTGTGTGTGTGTGTGGCCCGGAGGACAGAGGACAGGAGAACGCGCAGCTAATTAATTAAATAATGTGGTTCTGTACCTTTCTCTTCAGCACAGCCGACAAAGGTTTATGATGGGTCAGTCCTCCTGCATGCTCAGATCATTCCCTTCCCTTGCTTGAAAAATTGTTCCAAAATGAAAGTTGAACCCACATCTTTTTTATCTGTGAATTCAATGCCGTTCGGCGAGTCTCAAATAAAAATTTGGGCATCTTACTGTAAAAAAATATATACCATTAATGTAAAAAATTAACTCCAACTAAATTATATTCACATCCAGAATCGAACCCAGGTCTTCTGCACGAGAGTCCGACGTTTTACTAGGTGAGCCAAAGCGCCAGTTATGTACTTTTCATCGATCACGTTTATATCCTTGAGGACAGCTGAAACAACGTCAAACCAAAGAACGGTTCGGAGCGAAAATGGCTATTTTGTTGCTAATTTGCAGGAAATATCTAGAAGAAAGTTCTACAGAAAGTAGCTAAGGGTCCTCAGAAATGTAGCTAGCTTTGTCACTAGGCGTTAGGAACAGCGACAAAGTGGCACTGCCTCTCTCTCTGCTGCTAAAGCTACGGAGAGCAAATGCTACGGGCGATGCCTGAGCGTGAACGCGCATGAAGCAGCCTGCTCGACCCGAGCATCTCTCTTTTTCTGTGGTTTTACAGAAAAACAGGCAATCACAGTAAAAATGCCAGGGCTCATTCTACAGGACCAGGGCATTGCAGGAGAATGTATGAAGAAGACATTTATTATTTCTATACATGTTTTGGCTGTCACACTTCCATAATGTCCCTTTAAGATAGGGTTCAGGGTACTCTTACCTTCACCATCCTTGTTCTTCCTCCCTGATGACCTTCTCTTCGTCACTTGTTTGCCTGACGTAGACGAGGAGTTCAGTTCATCCACTGGGCTGGTTGGAGTTTGCGACCTTACTGACACATTGTACATGGAACCATGGGCGGAGGAGGAGCTATTGAGTGTTGCCCCACCCTCACCTGCTCTCTGAGAGGACGTTGATGAGGAGGATGAAGAGCGGGGCATACCTCCTCCTGCTATCAGAGTGTCATATGGGGGTGGTCTTTTTAAACTCAGAGGAGTTAAAGAGCGCCCCATGTTTACTGGAGAGGGACAAGCTGATTGGCTGCGGGGGTAACCATGCCCCCCATGGGTGGAGCTAGTTGACTTGAAGAAGCTGGAGGGGAGAGGTGGAGCTGATGAGCGACCAGAGGATGTGATGGTGTGGGTGTAGGGCAGATCCTGGTCTTGTTCCTGGTCTCGGTCCAGATCCCGATCTCGATCCCGATTCCGGTCCCGGTCTTTGCGGTGGTGAGAGGAGCTCTGTGGTTGCTCAGCACCTCCTGACTTGCTGTAAGGAGCATTTTCTATCATAGGCAGACGAGTGACATCAAGAGGGGTGAGGGGGGACTCATCCGAGTTTGGGGAGCACTGAGCTGGAGCCGGCGGGAAGACGAGCAACGGCGGACGATGAGTCAGAAGGTTCGGAAAGGGTGGAGGGATGTCACAAAGCGAGCCCCGAGATGACCACACTTCAGCGTTGATGATGGAGGACTGTGTGTCCTGCAGAAAGTCCTCCAGCATAGGGTACTTCATCTCCTCATACACGGACTCGCTCTGCTCGTCGTCCACATCTATCTGACCCTTCAGCTCTTGCAGTACGTTTCCCACCATCTCAATATAAACGGGCTCCTCATCATCCGTGTCCCTGAATGTTGGACTCTGAGATGAAGATTTGTCACCTTGCAGGAAAGACTTCTTGTTACTGAGACTATGGATGTAGGACTCATCAAAGGAAGAGCTCAGCTGAGTGTTGGGATCTCTCTTGGGTTTGGGTGGAGGCATCTTTTTGGAGTCTTCAGCGTAGAAATGGCATCTAGCTGCATGCAAGCAGAAGTTAAAACTTCAAATAGCAGCTTTCACCTCAAAGAAACTGTGAAATTCAACTTTCAGACCACACCAGCAATTCTATCTACAATCAGCTTTGTGAAGGACAGCTGCAGGAGACTCACTCCTCACCTTCTAACTGCTCTGGAGCATCTTTGGTTTCTTGGAACTCCCTCTTGGTGATGCCGATGCTCCCGTCCACCGCCTCAGAGCTACTGCTAAGTTTCGTGGTGGGGTCTCTCTTGGGTTTGGGCGGGGGTTGCCTTCGACTTTGGTTGGAGTCTTCTTCCCCCCCTCCCACTGAGTGGAGGGACTGGGATCGTACAGTGAAGCCTTGTGTGGATGTGGGTAGCCGGTCCTGTGATGCCGGCATTGTCATGAAGCCCATTCTGAAATGTTTTCCAGAGTATGCTCCATCTGTTGCAACAGAAACGTCTTCACCAATCCTGGAAGAGAAACGATGTTTGGTTATTTCTTTTAATTTGTTTGTTTGAAGTTTCAAACAGCACTGACGGATCCTCCAGTCCTTCAGCATCTGAACTTTAAGATTTGGTGCTTAATTACCTTTTGATGACTTCTTCCTGCCGTCTCTTCTTCTGGTGTTTTTCTTGCAGGTAGGTCCAGTTGGTCTGGTTACGTATGCGGTCGCTCTCTCTGGCAATGTCCGAGGCGTTTTGGATCACTAGACCATCATATGTTTGAAGTCCACTGTCCTCCACATACTGAAAAAACCTTCTAAAAGAAGAAGACTCTTCCTGTGATGTCATGACTCCCCAAATATCTGGAGGGTGAAAGGAGACAACCAAAAGTCAAGCTTTCTATATAAAGCACATAGATGAAAATACTTCTGCCGCCCTAAATCCTGGACAAGGACCACTAAGAAGAAGAAGAAGAAGAAAGTATCGTTTCTATAGCGCCTCTCAAGATAAAAATCACGAGGCGCTTCACAAAAACAAAAAATGTAAAAATATAAAAAAGCATTTGGAAAATGTTTAAAAATATATTTAAAATGAGCAAAAATAGACAATTGTGATTAAAAAAATGTTAAGAAAGAGAGAGAGTGAACAGGAAAGAGGGAAATCAGTGGATCCTGAGGAAGGTGGAATAGGTGGGGAGAGCAGAATAAAGAGAGAGAGGTGAAGAAGGTCATACAAAAGCCAGCTTGAACAAGTGAGTCTTCAGCTGCTTTTTAAAGGAGACCACTGAGTCCACTGATCTCAGGCTCAGGGGGAGAGAGGTCCAGAGTCTGGGGGCCACAGCAGCAAATGATCTGTCACCTTTGACCTTTAGCCTGGTGCTGCACAACCAGTAGGCTTTGATCACTGGACCTCAGGGACCTGCTGGGGGTGTAGGGACTAAGAAGATCACCAATGTAAGATGGTGCTTGTCCATGTAAGGCCCTATAGACCAGAGAAGCGGGGTGATGTGGGTGTGTTTGGAGGACTTGGTCAGAAGCCGAGCACAGGCGTTCTGAACCACCTGTAGACGGTTCAGGGAGGTTCTGCTCAGACACGTGAAAAGAGAGTTACAGTAGTCTAAGCGTGAGGAGATGAAGGTGTGGAGAACTGTCTCAAGTTCAGAGCGGGACAGAATGGGACTCAGCTTAGCAATGTTCCTGAGATGGAAGAAGGAAGAGCGAACAAGAGAACTGACATGAGAATCCAGGGTGAGAGCTGGGTCAAAGGTCACACCAAGATTCCTGACGGAAGGTTTGGTGTGGGAAGCAAGCTGACCAAGAGAGTCTCTGACTTTGGGAACCAGCTTGTCTGGGGCACAGATGAGGATCTCAGTCTTATCTTCATTCAGCTGAAGAAAGCTCCCAGCCACCCAGGTGTTGATGGAGTCTAAGCAGGTGTGGAACCGCTGCAGCTTAGACATCTCATGGGGCACTAAAAGCGACACAAGAAAATGACACAGAACAGTGATGTGTGTGTTTCTAGGAGGACAGGTGTGTGTCCTGGAAACACACACCTGTCCTCCTAAAGACTAAGAATACAGGTACGAGAAAATCAGACTTTTTTTAAACACATTTAAAGTTTTACGAGTAAAATACTTTAATCATTCATATTTTTTGTAAAATCATTAAAAAATCTCCAGTTTAGTTTCTTTTTAAACTCTAAAGCTGAGTGTCTACAACCCAAGAACCTCTTTACCTGGTCCAGGTAAAGTCATGAACAGACCTTGTCCATTACACCCTCAGAGATAGACTATGATGCATCACGGCAGAGCTAGCAGAAGAAGCTAACGCTAACGGAGGGTTAGAAAGCGATTTTCTGGCTGGTTGTGGATCCATTTCTAGACGTCTGAGCTGCAAAGAGTCTCGTTTCCTCCTCTGGCTGAGCTGTGGGACTGGAGAAAACCTCAATCGAGTTAAAAATTATTGCTGCTCAGATGAAACATTAGAGATGTCAAAACCTGTTCTGAAGCCGCAGGATGTGACTGATTTACACACATTAGACCAGTAAAAACAGCTGTTTGGTGTGTGAGTGAGTGTCCTAGCTAATCTCTCCTCTCTCCCTCCTCTTTATCTCACACACACTCCCTCAGTCTCTTTCTCACTCACCCTCTGACTCTCTTTCAGTCCCCTCCCCCACCTTTCTGTCTCTCAGCATCCTTCTAAAATTGGAAGAGGGAGTGAGCCAGTGGTAACCTAGCAACAGCAGCATCTCTCAGAGGAGCATGATGTAATGCTTCCTTGTACACAGATGATGAAGGAAAGGTGATAAGAGGGAAAGGAGGAAGATCAAATGCAGACTCAAACCCAAACCTCCAGAAGCAAATTAGATCTTTTGAATGAAAGCGGAAGAATTTTTCTGTAAAGATTTGCAGATCACACGTGGATGAGAACAAAAAGATCAGAGCTGAGTCCGATTCTGTTGGCATGTTTGGCTCTCCGTGTTCTCCACATGTTCTCTGTAAAACAAATATCTGCTTTCTTGTGTTTCTGCACCAACCGTACAAGAACAAGGACTGAAGCCAAGGAACCCAAGGAGGAACCCAAGGAGGAACCAAGGAGACGAGTGTCTCTGCCACCTTCAGAGACATTTCGTCCCACATTTGGTTGCTCTTTAAACTACTCTGAGTTTCTCCTTCACAAAGACACTGAAACTACGAAGTGACCCAGGACGTGGCTCATCAGCACGACTGATCCGATGAAACAGGAAGCCGTTCGAGACAGAGGAACTTCCTGTCCAGACTTTGAACCTGAACCATGTCTGTTGGGTTTTACATAGATCTGTGTTGTTCTGTCAGACATCCCAGTCCAGACAAGAAACTGGGTTGGGTGTTTTCTTTTAACTCTGTCCTGAGGTTCGGTCAAACATGGCGGCCATGTTGGAGGGAAACGTTAAGGAAATATTCTGAGGTTAGAAACAAACATGGTGGGAAATGCCAGATATGTTTGGACCATGCAAGCAGCACAAAGACAGAAAATTCAGATTTTTTTTTTAAATTAGGGTGAACAAAATCTAGACCGACGAGATGAAGACATGAACCGCGAGACATCGAGGCTTGAAGACTTGACATGAGGATTACCTGAGGATCAGCCAGGACTCAAACTCCCTCCATCCTTCCTTCACTTTCTCCTCCCTTTTTATTTCAATTCCCTCGGTACAAAGATGGAGTGATGAAGCTTCTTGCCGTTCTCTCAGATTGCTGCAACTCAGAAGAAAATGATGACTCTGATTTTTTTCTGCAGCAGCGTTAATCCACACTTCAACACCTCCTTCATTCCTTTCTTCCTGTCACAGCTCCTTCCTTTCCTTCGATGTCCCGTCATTTATCCTCACAGCTGAAATAATCGCAGTTTACACACATGCATGCACGCACGCACACACGCATACACACACACACACACAGTGTCATGCTCACACACCCTTCAGCATCACACGATGGTCGCCACAAGAAACAGGAGGCTGAAACCACGGCAACCGGACAGCATCCTCAGCCTGCTGACTCCTCCTCCTGCTGCTGACGGCAGTGTGTGTGTGTGTGTGTGTGTGTCCGTGCGTACTAGATAGAACAGCATGTTGCTGTTCATGTATGTTGGATCATAAATGTGATGTCACATTTTAACGATCCTCTTGCAGAGTCATTCGTTCACCAAAGAAGACAATGATCTAAAGATTTTTATAACGAGCTGAAGGGTCCACATGCTGGTTTTATCTCCATCCAAAGGTTTTAGATGCCAGACATCATCTCCACTGCTCTCCTGCACATCCTTGGTCTGAAAAGGAGGCTCGACGATCATGATGATAAATGACCCGCACTTGTGTAGCCCCTCTCAGAGTCAGAGGACTCCAAAGCACTTCATCCACTCACAAACGCATTCATACACAGATGGTGAGCTACAGTGTAGCCACAGCCACCCTGGGGATAGCAGTAGCTCAGGAGCGGGCTGTCCAGTAATCAGAAGGTTGCAGGCCGGACGCTTAACCCACCTTGCCTGTTGGCGGTGGTTGGAGGGACCGGTGCTCGGCAGCCTCGCCTCTGTCAGTGCGCCCCAGGGCAGCTGTGGCTACATCGTAGCTCATCCCTACCAGCGTCTGAATGTGTGTGTGAATGGTCTCTGACCACCACCAGCAGGCAAGGTGGGTTAA